TAATGAAATAACTAATTCAGGCAAAAATGACTAATAAATGAAGCTATTAGCTCAGTTGTTCTCAACCGGGGGTAATTTTATACACACATACACATCCCCTGTCCCCAGGACATCTGGTGATGTGTTTGTAGGCACTTTTTGGCTGTCACAACTAGAGGGGAGGCATGCTACTGGCACTTAGAAGGTAAGGCCAGGGATGCTGTTAAACATCTTACAATGCCGAAGACAGTGCCCCACAAAAGAATTACCTGGCCCAAAATACGTGGGGTGTCAAGGTGAAAAAACCTTACATTAGATGAAAAGCTGATGGAGAATTACAATAGTTTATCATTAATTCAACCGCTAACCAAACAGACTCATTAATAGTAGGGTTTTTTTCCCCGTGATCCCAGCCTTTGTCAACTAATAGCAGCTTAACCAGACATTGTGTCTTTTGATACGATACAATATGAAGTACACTGCATCATCTATAAAGCATTTGGGCTAAAAGCTGAACCTGAATCTAATTTGATCATTTAGAGCTAACTTACAGTATACAGAAATATGAAGGATAAGGCAGAGTCAGCATATTTTTTCTTTCAAGGGCCAGATAGTAAATATTTTAGGTTTTGCAGGCCATATGGTCTCTGTTACTACTCAACTCTCCTGTCATAGTGCAAAAGCAGCTGTATACATGCTGTCTTCCAATGAAACTTGATTTACAAAAATAGGTAGCAGGCTGGATTTGGCTCACAGACCATTCATTGGCTGCCAACCCTTGGTATAGAGGAAAGGTCCAATGACACCACAACAAAGCAAATGAATGGAGAAAACAGGATATTCTATGAGACGAACAACAATATTTCTTTAATTATTCAATGTCATTTAAAAAACTGAAGAGTGGGAGTGAGTTCTTCCTATTTAAAAGAGGTTGAAGAGGTGCAGAGATTAAATAGCATCTGTGAATCTTGTGTGAATCCTGATTCAAACAAACTGAGCGTTAAAAGACATCTTAAGAAACAGGGTCATGTAAGTATGGACTCGGTATTTTAGATTATACCAAGGAATCACCACTGTTAATGTTAGTGGGTGTGCTAACGGTATTATATAAGAAAGTATGCACGTTTTGAAAGAAGCATACCAAGGTTCAGAGGTAAAATGACACAATGTCTGAGACCAGCTTTAAAATACTTCAAGAGGGAAAAAAGGGAGAGAAATAAACAAGTGTGACAAAATCTTACTAAATGCTGAATATGAGTGATTGGTATATGGATTCCATTTTATTACTCTGTATCTATTTGAAGTTCTCCTACATAAAAAATTTGACAAAAAATAAGTTCAGCAATTTAAGTCTTTAAGAAAAAACTCCAACACTAGACAAATTCAATTCATTCTCTATAATAAGAGTTTAGTAGCAAATTATTACTCTTTCCCCTCCAAAAAGAACAACTTTCTCTTAAAGCAAAGCTGTGCAAGTTCAGTCAAGTATCGCATCTAAGGCATGGGTACAAAATCTGTCCTATTTTTTTAACCTCATTTTGATGGTTCTTTGCATTCTGCATTGTCTTCATGCTGAAAGCCATCACGACAAGTGGAGGAGGACTGACATCCTTAATTACATTCACCAGGTCTGGTTTCAAAGCCATTGCCTCAACTTTACACCAACTGATTGGCTGATTCAAGAGCTCTGAAACAGAATAGATACAACAGATCAATAGCTATTTACTGAAAAAGAAAAACTACTATAATTAAGGCATCTGTCATTAACTGGGATATTCTTCAATCCTGCCTTCTAATAAGAATGACATATTATAACATCTAACTAAAAATAAGCCACATTATTGGGTTGTATGCAAATCCTCATGTGTGCGTACATATGTTCATTTTCCTGGGAAAGAGGTCCATAGCAGTCATCAGATTCTCCAAAGAATTCAGGACCCAAAATAGACTTTAAAAAAACTGAAACACTGCCTTGGAGGAATCATGAAACATTTTTAAGAGCTTCACAAAGACAAAGCAGACTACCATAGAAGCAATTACTGAAAAACATCAGGTAACAGGCCAAACAGGCACTATCCATATTGAATACCGATTCTCCTCTACTTCAAAGATCAGCAGTTCACTATGGAGAACAGCTGGGCCACATCAGCCAGGTCAGAAGTACATGTGAATAACAGCATAATGAGGGATGCACCCCAAACTAAGGCCTCCCTCAGACTAAACTGCCAGGCATTATAGAGATAAGGTGATTCCAAATATACTCCCTATACTCACTCAAGGAAAACTTTGAAGAAACAAACAGAAAAGGAAGTGGATACATTAAAATAAATATATCAATTTCCTAACTTCCCTTTTAAAAACCACATCTATCAGCAATCTATTCAGCATTCTGAGCATATATTTTTCCTTACGTGGACTTTTTACTTCAAGCCAGCAAGGTCCTTTGATCTTTCTGTTCATCAAGAACAGTTCCAGGCTGGATGTATTGGTCCCAAATACATGAGAAAAAGTTTCTCCTTTCAAATCTTGAGGAAGCTGTGGCATTTCAGCCTGAAAAAAGGAAAAAAAAAAAAAAAAAAATCCTTTTGTTTAAAACTATTACTTTGCATTTTCCAAAGTCTATATTTGAAATAAACAAAAGCCTCTCTATGAAGCACAGAAGAAACCCTTTGATATATATGAAATGTAATTTGCCACAAATGAAATCCAAAACAATTCACAGTAGGAAACAAAACCAATTCACAATGACAAAATAATGCATCTTGATGGCACCCATTAGAAGAAAAATAGGCCAAGAAGCTCCCCCAAAAGAGAATTTCTGTCCAGAGCTGTACATGCTTTACTGATAAAGAATAACCAAATAAGTACCACTCCATTAGAAGAATGAAAGCAATAGAGTGGAACTCATTGAAAATACTTTTCATCACCACTGTCAGAAATATTTCTTAAAAGTTTTCCTTTTCCAATATTGTAGGAACAAAACACTAGAACAGAGGTAAGAAGAGGTTAAGGTCTAGTTAATTAATATCCCATAGCAATGACCCTGCCTGTCACAGGAGCAAGAGTAGTGCTATAGCAATGCTACTGACACTCCTCTCTCACCTTTCCACTGCTCAAAAGGGACACTTCAACAGACTAATGATGTCCAACTCCATCATGTGGCATTCATTCCACTTGACAAACAGTTGTGCTGTTTCAACTTATTTATTTAAAGATGTATACTCGAAAGCAGAGAAGGGTAGTGTAACCTGTAGTCTATATACTTAAATTAATTTTATCCATTTCAATTATTCATTACTATAAATCCACTTCAGTGAAGTGTGGGCTTGAGGATCCCTGCCAATACTCCTAACTGAAAGTCAGTTGAAAGTTCAAAAACAGAAAAATGTCATTCTCAAGCAAAACCCAGTAATTGTGTTTGACTTACCGAGTATTTAACTTCCAAGTACTCAGATTTTTCTGGAACATCAGGTATCTCAAAAGCATAGTTCTTTTCCACTGGCTAAGTAGATATTTAAAAAAAATCCTTAAGACAAAAACTTTTCACAAACTGACCAGTATTACATATACAATACATGCTCTTGTACTTAATCATCAAGAACCCTTACGGAATACAAAGGTAAAAAAAGCCAAAAAGGTACCTTTTCCTCTTTCGATTAGAACTAAAATACCCAGTGTCAAAATGCTAAAAGGACTTATCTTGGACACTACAGAACTCAAAAATATTTACATTCAAGAGGCGCAATAAAAGATGAAAATTTTGGCCGGGTGCAATGGCTCACGCCTGTAATCCAAGCACTTTGGGAGCCCGAGGTGGGTGGATCACAAGATCAGGCGATCAAGACCAGACTGACCAACATGGTGAAACCCCATCTCTACTAAAAATACAAAAATTAGCTGGATGTGGTGGCGCGAGCCTGTAGTCTCAGCTACTTGGGAGGCTGAGGCAGGAGAATCGCTTGAACCTGGGAGGCGGAAGTTGCAGTGAGCCGAGATTGTGCCACTGCACTCCAGGCTGNTTAAATCCCTTTACCAGTTTTCAAAATAATGAGTTGGTTCCCTGGCTCCCTTCACAAGTGACCAATGCGGTGTCATTGCTGACAATATCATTATTAACTCATGGATCTGATTTGTTTCAATCTGTTACACGTATTCTTACTCTCACAGTGTCCCATCTTTGGTCAGTAGAAGACTCTTCAAGTTGATTACTGAGTCCAAGTGGAATTACTGAGTCCTTTTAACATATCTTCAGTAGATTTTACTACTGTCCTTGCTCTCTGGTATAATAAGATGTTCCAGATATTTCCTTCCCTGAATCAGCCATTACTTCACAGACCTCAGTTTCCTTTTATTAGAAAATGGGGCCAGGCACACCAGCTCACACCTATAATCTCAGCACTTTGAGAGACCAAGGTGGGTAGATCACTTAAGGTCAGAAGTTCAAGACCAGCCTGGCCAACATGGTGAAACCCCATCTCTACTAAAAATACAAAAAAATTAACCAGGCATGGTGGCGCACACCTGTAATCCCAGCTACTCAGGAGACTGAGGCAGGACAATCACTTGAACCTGAAAGGCAGAAGTTGCAGTGAGCCGAGATCGTGCCACTGCACTCTACTCCAACCTGGGCAACAGAGCAAGACTCTGTCTCAAAAAGAAAAAAAAAAGGAATGTGGAAACCTCATTCTGGACACTAGAGGTGAATACTTTTTTTAAACTAACTACTAATTAAACTGCTCCCAAACACTTAACTATGAACTATGGCCATCTACTGTATTAACTATTATTAAAAGATCAGATGTTAAGAAAAAAGAACGCTAGATGTCAAAAAAAAAAGATCAGGCCAGATGGAGTGTTTCACGCCTGTAATCCCAGCACTTTGGGAGGCTAGGGTGAGCAGATCACTTGAAGTCAGGACTTCGAGATCAGCCTAGGCAATATGGGAAAACCTCGTCTCTATTAAAAATGCAAAAATTAACTGGGTGTGGTACCCCGCACCTGTAATCCCAGCTACTTGGGAGGCTGAGGCAGGAGAATCACTTGAACCTGGGAGGTGGAGGCCACAGTGAGCTGAGACTGTGCCACTGCACTCCAGCCTGG